CTTTCCCTCTGAGATTTACTTAATCCTACTTGAGGAAAGCAAGCTGCTTATCAAGATGGGAGTTATTTCAGCATCAGCTGCTGAAGCATTACTTCATTTCTCCTGTCCTTTTTACTCTGCAGCATTTCCCTCCAAGACTCTTCACTTCTCTTGTCTTCTGTTAATTAAAACCCAGGTTAGGACTGCCTGCTGATAACTGCGCACTGGTCTAACAAAGCCTGGCCTGTCGCTGGGTTTGTTTTATTACATGTCATACAAATCAGCAACAGCAGGTCACACTGCAGCACAAACAGCTCAAACTATTCTCTGCAAGTGCTTTCTTTTTGCTTGTACTGTGCTAATTTGGGGAAAAGGTCTCGCTAGAAAGCTTTTTCTTCAGAAATGTTTTAAGAGAACATTCTTATGTTGCACATCTCATGTACAACTGACAACACTGATAGCTTTTAAACTGGGGAAATGGGAAGGAACATAGAGGAAAACCGGCATTACCACTGTGACTGTGCCACTGCCTTGTGCCAGTACATGCCAGTGAGGGATGATGAGCAACCCCATGGCTGGGGGAATCCTGCTGCTCGGCAGCCTGGGCAAGCTGCACCTTCTAACCCCACCTGAACGTGGCACAGGCAATTACTCCTGACATCTTACAACAGCTCAAGGAGTCATACGGCTTATTCCTATTCATCGCACAATCATTCTCCAGTCTATCCTGCATTAAAACAAAAATAAACCTTTCTGTAAATACAGTGTTGTTTTTCCTGCTTTGCCTTCAGCCTCCTTAGCATTGCTCCATGGAAAGTAGGCGTCGACCTTGGTGAACGCATTAGTGAAGCATTTCCACAGGTAAGCTGAGCACCGGCGGTCACAGCGTCAGGAGGCACAGTACACAGAAAAGTGCTCCGCTGTCGTTTGGAAATGATGAGTCCAGCTGGCATGTTTGTTTTCAGTCATATAAAGAATTCCTCCTCCTCGTCGTCCCCTGCTCTGCTTGCAGGGCTGGCCCAGGGTGTTTGCAGGTGGAAGCCCGAAGCTCTTTGCCCTGCTCCCTTACTCCTCGTGGCTGCGGCACATGGCAGCTGGGTCCTGCCCTGGGTGGGCACAGTGCTGCCAGCCCCACCCGTGGGTGCTCGTGGCCGCAGGAGGCTGCTCTGCAGGTCCCTGGAGAAGCGGGTCAGTGGGCAGCAGCTGCTCGCCGGGCCCCCCCCG